TGGACCCAAATCTCTCCTGCTGCCTCTCCAAACTGTTGAATCTTAAAGAATGTAATGAGTTTCTGTCTACCTTATTAGGGTTAGTCTAACCTTTGGGCACCAAGGCTCACCTCCACTAAAATCCTCTCATGTCTCACTTTGGTAAAGAAGTAGTAAATGTTAAAGGAACCAATAGATTTCCCTCTCATTCAGCTAGGGAGCATCACAGGCAGAGCAGTGGGCCTGGAGTTAGGAAAACTTGACTTCAAATCTAGCTTTAGATACTTACTAGCAGGGTGACCTGAGCAAGTCATTTAAAATTTGTCTGACTCAGTTTCCTCATCCACAAAATGGGGATAATAGTAACAGCTACCACAAGCAAGGTGGTTGTAAGGATCAAATGAGATAATATCTGCAAAGTGCTTAGCATAGTACCTGGAATACAGTAGGCATTAAATAGTTTTTCCCTTCCCCCTTCTAAAAAATACTGAGGAGGATTAGAAGGCCCTGGATTATAATTCCCCTTGAAAGTGTTTGCTGACATGTGTGTGTGTGTGTGTGTGTGTGTGTGTGTGTGTGTGGTTTTTTTTTCCTATTCTCTTGCTAATTAAATAATTCCAACTAAATATTTTGCTTATAAAAGCCATGTTCTTGATCTGGTCTGCTAACAAAATGCAAAGTCAATCCAAATGATTTTTGAGTTTCCCAGACAAACTGGACTGGGAGATTGAGCTGAAAGGTACTTATTTCCCAAAATATTCCACCCTGAAGCCAGTAGCTCATGGGAAACCAGAGTCACAAGATCCATGGGTTATATTTGAATTAGACGAAATCAAGAAATGAACTGGTTGGTGTGTGAAGGTAGAGAAACTTTTTTCTCAATCCCAGCAAAGCTTCAGTTTCCAGAAACTCATGAAGATCATGAAAATGAAACACCCAAAGGGGGAAAAAACTGCTGTGAATTTCAAAAGTAAAAATGATTAAAGAGAATTCCATGTAATCAATAGATTTCTTTTCCCTATTTTTCCCCTCTTAGAAGCTTTCCTAAAAATAACTGTTTGTTTTGACTATAGTATTGATTGTTCTCTCCTAAATTTTTAGTTTTTGGTTTTCCTTCTCATAAATTGTCCTAACTAAGAGGTGTTTAATACTTCAAAGGTCCATTATTTTATGTGGGGAGGGGTGTTGCTCTCTTCACGAATATAGCTACACCTTAATTTATGAACCAGCTCTATGCAATGCTGCAACAAAATACCGAGTCATCACTTGGTGTCCTATAATGCACTGATGGGAATCCTTGAACTGAGCTAGACAAATTCTCAGCAAATAGATATAGGCCATAGCCTCAATCCTTAAAGGTTTTCAAGCTTGGAAAGACCTCCCAAAGTGTGTGTTCTGCTGACATTGCCTGCAGAACCCAGGTTCACCTTCCTTCTATAGTGAGGAGAACTTTAATGAAAATGAGCCTGGGTTCTCAGAAGTTCTACAAAGAGAATGCAAATTCTGACCTACCCTAACAAGAGTAAATGAGACACTTTTTAACTTCAGTAGCTCATTGGTTTACTTAAAACAAAAGTCAACAAAATTTGAAAGTAAATTCAATTCATAAATTTGTATTTATCATCTGAATTACCTATACTTTTTATATTAAATGTACCACATGTGATTATTCTGTGAGCAAAATGAGACGTGCTTTTTTTTTATATTCCTAGATTAGCAAAGTAAACTGATCTCCTCCCATAAAGGACATTTATTTCATTATGAAAAATGACACTGTTCTGTGGTTGTAAGGCAGGTCCAAATTATCTGGTGATAGAACACTATACAAATGTGCTTTGCAAGCCACACTCATGCACACAGCCCTGTTGGTTATTTGTATCAGCATATTAGAAACTGTCCCTTAGAAAATGTGAGGGAGGAAATATAGTTATCCCTTTGACATCGCAATTTTGACTTATGGCAGGTTGGCGTAAGAAATTAAGTGGGAATTTGGGGGGAGTTTTGTGGAAACTGCAGCTGACACGTGAAGGGTAGCAGATGGCACATAAAAAGTTTAGAAACTCAAAAAATGTGTAAAATATATGTATAGTATTGCATAATGTCAACATATTTTATTTTTTAATACCATAATAATTCAGACTTCTTCTCTGGTACAAAAAAATTTTATGCAGATTTTCTAGTTCGTAGGTTTCACCATGTCCCTAATCTCCATGATGTGGAAGGGATAACTGCAATTATTAGCCTCTAACTAATTGACCCCTCCCTTAAGATCCCAGAAATATCGAACTAGAGTAGGAGGGGGCTGCAGAGGCCATCTAATCTAACTCCTTCCTTTCACCAATGAGGAACCTGAGGACCAGAGAATTGGGGTGAATTGCCCAAGGTTGGTTATACCAGTGGTAAGTAATCAAAAGAGGATTTGAATGAATGAATGAACTTACCACATACTTAATGCCAGGCATTATGCCGAAGGGTGGAGTTGCAAATACAGAAAGCAACATAGTCCCTCAAGGAGTTCATATTCTAAAAGGGGAAATCCACACATATTGGGTAGTGGTCACCAGGAAGGAACATTTTGATCTAGGAGGTTGCAAGGCAATTGAACAACATGCCCTTTCTGGGAATGATAGTGTTAATTTGACTACTGTTCTTGAACTAGAGGCAGAAATTTGGTTAAGGGGAGAAGAATGGCAGTAATGAATGAAGAGAGCCAGAATTGGGGGTGCCTAGATATGGTGAACCCACACTTTTAGGAAGTCAAGAGTTGGATTATAAATTGGGAAGTGGGGGTTGGAACAAGCATGGCATAAGGATGGACAGAATACATCATGGTAGGTCTGGAGACATCTGGATACGAAGAACTCTCACCCTCAAACTACAGAGTAAGGGCTCTTTCTTCTATGCCATGCTTCCTCCTTCTAGAAAGGACTTGCTTCCCAGCTCTATCAAAGTCTCAGTCCTCCCTTTCATCATTTGAGCAGCCCTGATGTGGAAACAATAAAACTTAGGCATGAAGTTAGGGGAATGATGAGAGTTTGGCTACATAACCTCAGGGCACCTTCCTCCTCCTCCTCCACAGCCTAAGCAACATCACATGTGAAGCCTGGTGAACTCCCACTCTGGCAGATGAGCTCCAGCAGTATCCTTCATTCTGAACCTTGCTTTCTTTCCATCTAGATATATGATTTCCTGTATGTGAGTTCAAATGCACTCATATTAAAGCTCTATTGTCCTACACATTTGGGTCTGTCTGATTCTTTTTTTTTTTTAATTCTATGTCCCAAGACTTATAGAACAGATTGGGGCAAGCTTTTAAATACTTATTTGGCCAATAATCCAATAGGATTTTAAAACTCTCAGTCGTGCAAAAGATTTTTGTTTCGTTTTTACTATTTTCTTTTTTTTCTGCCTAATGACAAAACATTTCTTGGAGAAAGAGGGGAATTGACAGCAAACTGAATGGTTCTTAAAAGGGTTTAAAAGGCTCTTTCTACCTGCTATAAAACTTGGTAATCCATTAGCATGTCCCTCATTTGTCTTTATTGTTCACTCTAATAAGCTTTTTTTTTTCAGACTTTGCCACAATATCCTCCAATGTCATTTCACCCAGAACTCCTCACTTTAGAACATCTGTCTTCTCCCCCTGGAATGTCCCTTCCCCAAGATGGCCACTTTCTTCCATTGTGAAGCTTCTCCCGAGACTTTCATTTTGGGGAGGAGTCCAGGCCAGCCAACTTTAATTCTCCACAAAAGGCACCTTGTCCCCACCTTTACTGCTTCCTTTTGTGAATATTCTTTCCCCATTAGAATGTAAGATCCCTGAGGGCCAGGATTCTCTTTTTGCTTTTATTTGTATCCCTGATGCTTAGCACAGTGCCCAGCACACAGTGAATGCTTGATAAATGCTCTACCCTCTAGATACATTTCAGCTTCTCATTTTCTTCTCTTAATATTTCCTAAAATGAAGCCCTTTGGAAAGCCAAGGTATCAGGCACGCACCTTTAGAGCTGGAAATCATTGAGTCCAACACCTTCATTTTACAGGGTGAGAAAACTGAGGCACAGTGAAGTGCAAATGAATTGTCTAGGTTTATATAGTTAGTATCTAAGATAGGATTTGAACCAAGTTCTTCTTAACTCCAAATCCAGTACCTTATTCCCTATACCATACTATCTTATCAGTTCATAGGCATGTGGTATCAAAGATGAACTAGACTGGGTCTTAACAAAGTCCTTTGCAGTCAAATGCTGAGGAATGATAAGCTCTTAGAGCTGTCAATGGCACCACTTGTTCACCAGCATGAAATGTGTGTTTATTAACAAGCATGTCAAGAGAACATTGGGGGCAGAGAAAGATGCTAGATTTCTATAATCTCTTGTCATTTCTTTAAAGTAGCTCTCCTTTCCTTTACTTACTTTGAAATTCATGTTGAAATTATCTTGAAATTGAAAATGCAGTTGAAATCTAACTCAGCTTTAGTATTTCTGTGAATTGGAGGATTATAGTAAGAGATGGTTAAAAATGAAATGTCACCTCAGGGAATTTATATGTCAGATATTTTTTTTCCTTAGCTTTCCAATTCAAACGACATGGAAGAACACCACTCTGAATGAGCAAGACCTTTAACAAGTGATGTTTCTGAATTAGTTTTGAGTTCAATGATCACAAGAAATAAGGCAAACAGTGTTGGGAAGTAGACATCCTTATCCTGCTGCAATGAATTTGTAAAACCCATTTGTAGTTAATGCATGAAAGGCTTGCATGTAGATGACTGCCAAAGCAAGTTCCTTTCTTAAGTAGGATGACTGTCCTTTCTGCACTACTGTTTATTACATTAACTTGTTTAGCAAACTTTTTCCCATAGTGCAGAGCTCAAACTTGATCTAAACATTGAAGATCTCCAAATAGTGAAGCTCACAGGGGAGGCCTTCTTGAATATGAGGGAGAAATGATTCATGAACCACATGCTTCACCTGAACATTTAAACATCCTATTTTAAGACTTTCATGAGTAGCTATTACCTTGCACTGGATGGAAGACTGGGAATCCAGAAGAACTGCCATATAGAGTTCATATTCATTCTAAATCAATAAAAAGCATTGAAACGTGTTATAAGACAAGAGGGCACAATATGCAACTAAACAGGTTAAGGTAGTCCTTTCTGAAAATTTTCTAACATTGTAAAAATCTCCTGACAAGGATTTCTACTCTAAATAATAAATTATGTTTCAGGCTATGACCTATTGTTGAACAGTTCATTTTATCATTTGGGTAAATTTTTAAAAATGCATTGTCCCCAAAAAGACATTTCTTCAATGTCAATTTTCAGTGTTCCTTGACCTAGTACTTCATAGTGTCAAGATTATATGACCTGATACATGCTTCATATAATTACTTTGCGCCACAAGACCAAAGTCAATGGATTTGGTTTGCAGCATGCCATCAATGGAAACACATTACAAAACCTAGAACTTTCTGAGTGAGCATCCTGCTGCCACTTTGGATTCAAAAGGGACCTTCTTATTCTAATTCAACTTCAGCAACAAGGGTCATTTTTTGTCATGAAATATTAATAAATTACTAAACCTAAGGCTTCTCTGTTGAACATAAGCAATAATATTTAACTATGACCAACAGTTACAGCTTCTTTAGCTCATATTTCAAAACTGTATAAAGGAAGTGATTTTGTTGGTGTGAGTACTTGCGCTAATGAAGATTGCAACCCATCTATAACTTCACTGCTGGGCTTTGAGAGCTGCTGTGGTTAAAGAAAAAAAAAATCAACCAAAAACCTATTACCCTACAGCTGACCCTGGAATGAACCTCTTCAAATTTAGGAAGCTAGTCCTTTAAAGACAGTTATAAGTCACTATTTACTTTAGTGAGCCTTACAATTTAGATTATGCCATGTGAAAATATATGGGCCTTTCTGATTGGGGTTTTGGTAAAAAGGTACTATTCGGGAAATTAAAGAATTCAAAAAAAATGTAAATGTCTGAGGTTATATTACCTTCACTTCCTTCAAGAGATCACCAAACATAAGAGAGCTGTTACAAATGTCCTCAAAGATGTTCCCAAACACATGCAGTCTGTTAAATTCGGGGGCAGCATTATCATGAATTTTCTGGAGTTCCTTGAAGAAAATCAGAATTAGCAATTCATTTAGGATGCTTTCTTTCCCTACTAACGTTTTCCCCCCATTATTCATTCTTCCAATTACTGTAATATGCCTGTGATATCTTAGTTTCCCAATAGAAGAAATATTCTCCCTTTACTCAATAATTCACCAGATATTTCCACTTATCCCTCCACCATCTTTTTCCAAAATCAATTTTTTGCCTCCTCCATTTCTACAGCCATATGTCATATCAGAGTTTGCTTATTTCATATATAGACAACTATAAATTCCTCCTTCCTGGCCTCCAACCTCCAGACTCATGCCTTTAACTAGGGGGGGAAGGGGAAAGTCCTTTGCCAGCCACTTGAACAATTTTAGTCAAAGTCACCTGGTTCCCTGGGTACATTACCACACTTCTGAGGGTCTCAAACCCTCAACTTCCCTTAGAATTTACCTAACCCCATTTAAGCCCTTGTCATATTTTCTTGCATAGATAATTGCCAGGGCTTCTTAATTGTTTTCCCTCCTTCCAGTATCACTCTTTATCAGCTCTTCCTCCACATTTTTTAAGGCATATTTATTGTACTCCCTCCCTCAAAAACTCTTCAGTGGCTCCCTTTTGTTCACAGAATTTCTCAGAGTTGAATAGGATATAGCAAGAAGTCCAATCCATACCTGAACAAGAAACGCTTTTACAAAATTCCTGAAGCTCTGGTTTTGCTTAAAGGCAGTGTGATGGTAAATATTTAACAATCCACTCTGTATGTACTGCATATTTTTTTAAAACTTAATCTGAATTATTAACAATTTCTCTATCACTTTTTTTAGTCTAGACAACTAATAAAACAATAAATTAAACCCTTATTTGTAGTGTTTGCTGATTTTCTATTCTGAGTTTCACACTGAAAATCTATCAGTCAGCTCATGAACCAGTTTGAGCTGGCTACAGGACACCCTTGCTTAAAGACCTACAGTGAGGGGACACTACCTACTTTCCAAGGCAGCCCAATCCACTTTTGGATAACACTAAGTGTTAGGAAGTTTCTTCCTTAGAGAGGGCTGAAATTTACCTCTTTGCAACCTTTACCCATGGCTTCTGAGCACAAGTTTTCTAAAGTCAAGAAGATTCAGGGCAGGGTCAAAATGGCAGAGTAAAAGTAGTGACTTGCTTGAGCTTTCCCTCAGACCCCTCCAAATACCTGTAAAAAATGACTCTAAACAAATTTCAAAGCAGCAGAACCCTCAAAAAGACAGAGTGAAACAAATTTCTAGCCTAAGACAACCTAGATGGTTGAATGGAAAGGTCTATTGCACCAGGCTGAGAGAGGAGCACAGTTCAGCGTAGGTGCACAGGCAAAGACCTGGCCTCAGTGAACCAGAGATGGAAAAAGAAAAAGGAAAAGAAAAAGGAAAAGAAAGTCAAGAAGATGAAGATCTCTTTTATCTGGCAGCTCTTCAAATACTTCTATCCAAACATTTCCGGTTCCATCATGTGATAATAGCTAATACTTACATAGTGCTTTAAGGTTTGCAAAGTGCTTTACATATGCTATTTTCCACAACCCTTTGAGATAGGTGTTTTTATTACCCTAATTTTAGAGAAGAGAAAACTGAGTCTGAGAAAAGTTAAGTGACTTGCCCAGAAGTTAAGTGAGGAAAGATTTGAACTCTTGATTTCAAGTCCAACATTCTATTGACTATATCACCTAGATGCCTTGATCCCCATATGGTATAATCTTGAAGTCATTTACAAATTTGGTCACCTTCCTCTGGATGATCTCCAACTAAAAAAAAAATGACCCTCTTAAAATGTGGCACCAAGAAAGGAGCATAATACAAGATCTACAGAAAATAAAGTATATCACCTCTCTAGTTTTTGGCACTATTTCTCTCTTAAAGAAACCTCTCTATTTTCCATCTGCTGCTTCCTGGTTTCAACTCTAAGGAACAAGTTACCCCTCCAAGAATAAGCTCATCAGTTCCAAACTCACTATCATGCTGCTAACTCAGGCCTAATTGACACCACCTGTCTTAGCCTCCTCTTCCCTCTGGAGGGCTAGAGGGCAAAATATCAAACTTCTCACAATGCCTTCCTTTATAGAGGGCAGAAACTGGACTCTCAGATCACTCTACTTTGCATCTGATACCCTGCCTAGTTTCAACTCCATTGAATAAGATGCCCCAGCACCAAGGTCTTCCCCCCGCCCTCTTTCCTGCCCTCCTTTTTGTGTTGACTTTCCCCCTTAGATTGCAAGCTCATGGAGGGCAAGGACTATCTTTCTTCTTATAAATTGTATCCCTTGAGCTAGACAGTGTCTGACATTTAATTGATATTTATTGGACTGTATTGGTGATACCATTAGCTATCTTGGGTACCATATCACACTGTTGACTCATGTTGAGCTTGTTGTACATTAAAATGACCAAATCTTTTTTTTTTCAGATTAGTTGCCATCCAACCACAACCTTCCATATTTTTTATTGCAAAACTGATCTATTCATGTGTATAAGAATGTACATTTATACCTACTTACTGGAATCAGCCAATCATATCAACTTTTTGAGCTCTTTTGAATTCTCTTATTCAAAATGTTAGCTAATTTTGTCAACTGTATGTCATATTTAAATTTGCTAAGTATGATATCAATGCTTTATCCAATTCATTAATAAAAGTGTTGAGCAGCAGAGTACCCCAGGCTGACATAAAAACATGAATGACTGTAAGTCTGGCAACTGAATCAGCTCAGAATTTCAACTATTACTGTCTTATGCACCTCAAGTAAAGTTTTATATCTCAACACTTCTTAATCCTCATCTTCCTGCCACATTGCCTATTGACTATTGTCCCCAGGTCAAAATACAAATCTCTCAGCATAGCACTTACAGTCCACCATATCACTTTAACCTACCTTTCCATCCTTTTTCACAGCACCTCCTTATATATGTATATGCCATGTTTTATTCAAACTGGACTGGGGTCATCATCTGTGCCTGGAGTATGCTCCTGCTGATCTCTGACTCTGAAAACCCTTGTCTTCCTTCAAAGCACAACTGACATGTCACTGCTTCCCAAGAAGTCTTCCCTGCCCCCACAATCACATTTTGTTAGTGCCCTCTTTCTCCTCAAATACCATGTCTATGTTGTATCGTTTGAAAAAATGTAAGCCCTTCAGGGCTTGTCAATATTTTTTTCTTCCTGTTACCAACATCTAGGTTTTAAAAATGAAAATCTATAGTGGACTATGTCTGTATAGACATGCAATCAATATGAATAATTATAATGACAATAATAATGGAAGACGTCTATGTAGTGTTTTAAGTTTTAAAGTATTTTAATAGATTATCTCACGATTCTCACAACAGCCCTTTGAAGTAGTTTCTACATTTATCTGCTTTTGATAGATGGGAAAACTGACTTTCAGAGAGGATAATAAAGTTCCTCCTGGTTATAGGACGAGTACATATTAGAAGCAGAATTTTAATCTCCTGGATAGAAAGTTGTAGATAATACGAGAAGACACCGTGCTTACTTTTTGTTGACTATTAAAAAGAATTTTACTTGATAGAGCAAAATACTTCCTTAAAATTTCTCCTCCAAGAAGTTTACTCTCATGCGTAGCTCAAAATCAAACCAGATTCATTAAAGATGAGTTAAGAGATAACATTATTCAGTGACCTTCTGATTATTAATACCAAGGGAGGCATAAAACAAGGAAAGGTGTGCTCACCAAAAGTGATTGCTGCTACTATTTAAGACGTCCAGGACAAAGTCCAAAAGGAAGAGGGATTCCCTGTAAAATAGTAAGATGCTCCAGAGACACCATTTTGCGGATGAAATTGTACATTTTGTATTAAGCTCCTGAACACTGCAGATGCTACTATATCAAATCTATAACAACTCTTAGAAGAGTTCAGCTTAACAACACACACACACACACAGAGTAAACAAACAAGTAGAAAAGGAATGCCAATGTAATGAGGCATAGTCTAAGTTAGATTGACAGAGCTTGTCCATTAAAAATATATATCTTGGACTATCACTCTGGATAATGAACTGGGCCCAGAAAGGAATAAGAGGAAGAAAAGGACCAGATCATCTTTGGGAAATTGTGCAGTGCTTCTCCTTATATTCAAGCTTCTCCTAGGAAACCCAGCTATTTAGCAACAGTATTCTTACAGTGATGCTGGATGATTGCAAGATCACTCACAAGCACCAAAGAGAAATATGCACTGGGTTAAAAAATAAGCTACAATATGTTACTGATGGAGAATTGTTTAGGAGAAGCAACCTAAATGACACCATTGGACAGCTGTGTGACTAGAACTGAAAGTAGATCATTTACATGAGAGATAAACAACCCTCCTGCTCTAGTGGTGTTTATGCACTGTCAAAAGACCTAGGGGAAGGCTCTCACTCAGCATGTTGGATAGTCCCCTGTGGAGGATTTATGAGATAACATGGACAAAAGGATCAAGAGTCACATCGGTTGGGCCAACATAAATATGTTATGAACTACTCTATCGAAAAGATTACTACATAAAAAAATAAATAAATAGCAATTCCATCAAAGTACAGAAGTGCCCTCAGTTGCTTTATTTCATGTAGGTTAATTAGCAAAGGTTTGTTGAAATGAATTGAATTATACCTTCTTAATTATCTTTCCTGTATGTTTGTTTTCCATTACTTAAGCTATAACTTATTTTCTGTTCCTTTTTCTTTTTATCTTCCATTTTAGATTTTAAGCCTATGCAACACCATAGACTGAAATTTCTGTTAAGATTCTGTTTCTAGGTAAGATTAGCTTATTTTGTATTGTTCTGTTTTTATACCTAGCCCGTGATTTGGTTTGTGTAGAGAATTCCTGTATAGAAATCCTATCTACCAAGGCAGTCAATTAACTTCTGTGGTCCTCAGAAACTGATTAAACTAGATGATCTCTGAGATGCCTTTAAGCTCTAAGTTTTCAAATGTTCTTTAGTCTGTTTGTCCATTAGTGCTGATTGCATTAGAGTTAAGCCTGGTTTGCAACTGTGGCAAGTGAAATTTAACAAAAAGGTAAACTGAGGCACATTGCTCTGAGCAGTATAACATTTATTAACAAGGACATGCTGTCTGTCAATAAATGGGTCAATGAATTGCCTCCACTTATGCCAAAGACCCCGAGCAAAAGGATAATTCCCCTTTTGTAGGTTTTGGGGAGTATAGAACAAAGAACAGAACAGAGTAGATGACATCATGAGATCGAAGACAACGTGATTGGTTATAGAGCTGAGGAGCAAGGAACAATATGATTGGTTGGAAGTTTGGTAATGGTGGCTAGCAATGAACCCCTCCTTCTCTTTTAAGAGTCCAAGTGCAAAATAGTGGGCCAGACTTTTGGACAGCAGACCAGATATCATTGAAGGATCGCTCAGTGGTGTCAAGATGTTAGATCTGATTTCCTTGTGTTCACATGTGTCCCTCAAGGTCAACTAAATTCCTTGAGGCAAGAACACATCAGTAGCTGGATTTTTAAACTTAACCCATAATAAATCAGCTGAATTCTGAACCAAGTACAGAGACAAAAAAATCATGACAAGTAGTTTGTTACAGGACAAAATCAATTGGTTGTAAACAGGATAAAATCAATGATACAGGATCAATTCACTCTTCTCACTGCCAAGTCCTAAACATATGGGTCATGATTGAGTCAGTGCTGGAGAAATTCAAGTCCAGAATTTTTTTTTTTTTAGTGGTAGGATAGGCTAAGGTTAAAGGATGTATTTAATATCATTAAATAACTTGAAGTAAAGGGAACTGACATTGCTTGGTGTTATAATAGAATATAAGCTACTTAAGAGCAGGTATCATTCACTATTTGTCATTGTATCTCCAGGGCATAGCACAGTGCCTAGTATATGGTAGGTGCTATATAAATGCTTGTTGATCAACTGCAAGGATTCACTGCCACTATATTATTAAATGAAAGAAATTGGAGCATAAGTTATTGAAAACAATCCAAATACAAGTTCTTAATCATTTAATGCTAGTAATAACTGAAGATACTGCTAACAAGTATCAATTGAGAAAGGTTTCAAAGTTTATTCAGCAGCCATTGATATAGGTATGCATTCCATGCCAATTTTACTTGGCAGTGTTGGAGGAGAAGAAAGTAGAGGAGAATGAAGAAAAGGGGGAGGAAGAGGAAGAAGAGGAAAAGAAAGAAAAAGAGGAGAAAAAGAATAACAATAAAAAAAACAAGAAAAACGAGAAAGGGGGAGAGAATAAGAAGAAGAGGCATTTATATTATACCTTTAAAATTCACAAGTCTTTTTACATCCATTATCTGAGCCTAACCACTCTGCAAGTAGCGTACTACAAATATTATTATTTCCATTATTTCCAGATAAAACACTTGACACAAAGAGAGGTTAAGTGACTTGTCCATAATCACACAGCTAGTAAATGTCAGGCTTGGTCCAATTTCCAGAATCACATAGGTGTAAGCTACCCTAAAGTTTTGGAGTGATGCCAAAGTGGCACAAGATTACCTGTTCCAACTTCTTTTCATGGCTTTTGGCAACCTTACTCCCAGTGAAATCACTTTCCACAAGATCTTGCTTTGCAACCACATCCTTTTCGAATTGCAAGAACTTAAGAAACTTATCCTTTTTAGTCACACCAGACAAATAGGAGCTAATAAATTGGTATTCGTCTCTGGAAGAAGAAGAAGAAGAAAGACACTGGCGACTATTTTTGGTTGATTTATACTTCAGCAGTCGGAGCTCTGGCAATCTGAGATCTTTCTTAAGCATTTCATCATGTAGTTTCTTTCTCTCTTCCTTGAGTTTTTGTTCAAGTGCTATATCAGAGACTGGAAGGTGAGGAAGTAAACCACTTTGTGATGGAATATCCAAAGTCTTCAAGAAGCCAGCACTATCAGAAGCATCTGAGACCAGAGCAGTATTAACGGTAAATTCAGACAAAGCATTTTTCATCTTTGCTGATTTCTCATCAAATTGATCTTTTGGTACAGTCTGTTTTCTGATTGGCCCAAAGGAACCAGACCAGAAACAAGTGGGCTTATTGGGATTAAAGAGTTTTTTGGGGTTGAGGTGTCCTGAGGTATAAAGTTTAACATCATCTCGATGTATTCGTTGTAGTTCATTTAAAAGCCCAGAGAGTTTCCACCCCTGATTGGGGTTCAGCCTTGTAGAATTTTTCATCCTTAAGCAAACTGTTCAAAAGAAAACAAAGAAATATTAAAAGCCACTATCTAAAGTTACATAGTAAGAACATTTAATATTAATAATAATAATGCCAGATTTAAAGTCTACAAAGTACTTTGCCTACAATCCTGAGGGGTAGGGCAAGTGTTCTCATTTTAAATGTGACAAAAATTGAAGCTTATGGTAGGAACCAAGAGTTGGACTTGCCTCTTTATTTTTACTAACTTCTAATAGAAATGTAGCATTAGCTTCAATAGTGATTGTAGGTAGCAAAGATTATTCTGAGAAGAGGTCAATTAGGTTTCATAGATTACTAAAGGGGGTCCTTGATCTTAGAAACCATCTAGTTTCACCTCTGTTTTACTGAGGTTCTGAGAATTTTAATGAATTACCCAGGATCATACTACTACTACTAAATGTAAGAGGCAAAATTTGAAAATCATCTCCCCTCTTACTCAACATCCTGCTAAGTGCTGATAGAAGAAGTCACACAACCATGCTGACTAGGTTCACTACAAGTATATGTTCTCTAATCTCAACTGGGCCCTCACTCCTGCAGGACAATTCTTTCCTAATGGACTCATTTCTCAGACTCTCCACAGTGAGATTCTCTAGTGTATTAGAACCAATCCTTCTCTTCTCTCAAGTTTTCTACTCTCCTTTCCTCCTCCCTCTCAAAAGAAAATCTCACCTGCTACCTTTCTGAGAAGATAAAGGACCATGCTCTTCCCCCTATTCCTCATCTCAAAATTCCTTTTAAACTCCATTCTCTCCTAATTTATTCTAGTACCTGATGAAAAGGTGGACCTCCCCCTTGCCATGGCCAGCCTTCCATTTGCGTTCTCAATTCCATTGAAATAACAATACATCTTACATCTGTCCCCTTGTCTTCATTCACACAGGCACAACCCAACCTCACTACCTCTTTTCTGGGCTATTTAATAGCCTCCAAACTCATCCCCCTGCATCCAGTTACTCCTCTTGCCAATCCATCCTCCACAGAGCTGCCAAAATAATATTTATAAAGCACAGGTCTACACATGTTGTGCTGGTTATGAAGTTCCAGTGTTTCCTATTCTCCTGAGGACAAATTTTCCTTGTGTGTCATGGACCCCCTTTAGCAATCCGGTGAAACCTAATTGACCTCTTCTCAAAATAATCTTCGTTACCGACATTCACTATTGAAGGTAATGCTAAATTTCGGTTAGAGGTTAGTGAAAATAAAGAGGCATTTTTTTTTTTCCCCATCCAAGTTCACAGACTCCTTGAAATCTGTCTACAAATCCCTTGGGGATCCATGTACTTTAGCTTATGAAACATTGCTCTAGGATAAAATACAAACTGTTCTGTCTGATATTTAAAGCCCTTCATAAAACTTAGCTCTAACCTACACCTCCAGGTTAATGGAATATTACTTTCCTTCAAGCAATCTATGTCCCAGGTAAATTGGCCTAGATATTGTTTCCCCATCCATGATATCATACCTCTTATCTCCATTCCTTTACACAGGCTCTCCCCCATGCTTAGAATGCCCTCCTCATCCCTGCCTTCTAAGATACCTAGCTTCCTTCAAAGTTGGACTTAGGCCAGGTTCATGTCTGTAATCCTTGCTAAAGAGGAGGTTGATGTTGTTGAATTGCTTGAGTTTGAGGGTTCTAAACAGCAATGGAATAAGTCGATCCAGTGTCCACATTTATATTGAGCATTTGGAAGTATGAGGCCTAAGGAGGGATTCACTTGTCCAGGTCAAAAACAAAGCATATCCATTAAAACTCTGTGAAAATCAGTAGTGAGTTCAAGGCTGTGAGTGGTTGGCTGATGACATCTGTCCAAGCTGGATGAGATAGCGACCCTACCCCCAGAAAATTGGTTCATTTGTCACTTCCTAAAGAAAGGCCATCCGGATTCCCTAGTTGCAAGTACCTTTCCTACAGAAGGTATTTTTTAATCCACTTTTATGCCAATCTGGTTTCATTTTCTTGTCGTCTACTCCCTGCTCTGAGAGTAGGGATGGTTTTGTATTGTTTTGTTTTGTTTTTGTTTTTTGTTTTCTCCATCACCAAGCACAGTGCCCTGAATTCACCTAACTATACTATCTTCTTTTTCTTCTTTTCTTTTTTTATTTTTAACTTGTGTTTTTAAAACTTTGGATTACAAATTTTCTCCCTTCCTCCCTCCCCACCCACCCTCATTGAAAAGGCAAGCATCTCGATACAGGTTATAGATGTGCAGTCATGCAAAACACTTCCACAGTAGTCCTGTTGTGAAAAACTAAGTATATTTCCCTTCATCCTATCCTACCCCCATTTATTCTATTCTCTCTTTTGACCCTGTCCCTCCTCAGAAGTGTTTGCTTTTCATTATCCCCTCCCCCAATCTGCCCTCCCCTCTAGCAACCCCCTGCTGTCTTGTCCCCTTCCCCCCTTATTTTCCTGTAAGGTAAGATAGATTTCCATACCCTATTGTGCATGTTATTCCCTCCTTAAGCCAAATCCTATGAGAATAAGATTCACTCATTCCCTTTCACCTTCTGCCATTTCCCCTCTAGTGTAAAAGCCTTTTCTTGTCTGTTTTATGTGAGATAATATACCCCATTCTACTTCTCCCTTTCTACTTCTCCCAATATAATCATCTCTCACCCCTTAATTTTATTTTCCAGATATCACCCCTTCATCTTCAGCTCACCCTGTGCCCTCTATCTATCTATACACACATATAATTTTTTTCCCTCCCACTACCCTAATACTGACAAAGGACTCATGAGTTACAAATATCATCTTTCCCTACAGGAATGTAAGCAGTTCAACCTTAATAAGTCTCTTATGTTTTCTCTTTCCTATTTACCTCTTCCATGTTTCACTTTAATATTGTATTTGAAGGTCAAATTTTCTATTCAGCTCTGGTCTTTTCCTCAGGAATGCTTGAAAGTCCCCTATTTCATTGAATGACTATTTTTTACCCTGAAGGATTATACTCAGTTTTGCTGGGTAGGTGATTCTAGGTTGTAGTCTTAACTCCTTTGCCCTCCAGAATATCATACTTCATGTCCTCCGGACCCTTTATGTAGAAGTTGCTAAATCTTGTGTTATCCTGATTGTGTTTCCACAGTACTTGAATTGTTTCTTTCTGGCTGCCTGCAACATTTTCTCCTTGACCTGGGGATTCTGAAATCTGGCTATAATCTTCCTAGGAGTTTTCTTTTGGGGATCTCCTTCAGGAGGTGATTGGTGGATTCTTTCAATTTCTATTTTGCCCTCTGGTTCTAAAATGTCAGGGCAGTTTTCCTTGATAATTTCTTGAAAGATGATATCTAGGCTTTTTTTTTGATCATGGCTTTCAGATAGTCCAATAATTTTTAAGTTCTCTCTCTTGGATCTCTTTTCCAGGTCAGTTGTTTTTCCAATGAGATATTTCACTTTCTCTTCTATTTTTTCATTCCTTTTGATTAGTATTACAGTGCCTTGATTTCTCAAATTGTTACTAGCTTCCAATTTCTCCATTCTAGTTTTTAAGGAAGTATTTTCTTCAGTAAGCTTTTGGACTTCCTTTTCCATTTGGCCAATTTTGCTTTTTAGAGCATTCTTCTCCTCATTGGCTTTTTGGATCTCTTTTGCCATTTGGGTTAGGCTATTTTTTAAGGTGTTATTTTCTTCAGTATTTTTTTGGGTCCCCTTTAGCATCACTCTCAGTTTTTCCTCTACTTCTCTTACTTGCTTCTCAAAATCCTTTTTGAGCTTTTCCATGGCCTGGGACCAATTCATATTTTTCTTGGAGGCTTTGGATGTAGGAGCTTTGGCTTCGTTGTCTTCTTCTGGTTGTATGTTTTGATCTTATTTGTCATCAAAGTAAGATAATATAGTGTGACTCTTTTTGCACAGTTCGCTTATGATCCCAGCCAATTACTTGAGTTATAAACTCTTTGTTAAGGTAGGAGTCTGTTTCCAGTGTGGAGAATGTACTGTCCCAAGCTTCAGGGGTTTTGTGCAGCTGTTTTCAGAGATACTTCTCGGGACCTGTAAATTTTCAGTTCTTCCAAGGTACTATGATCAAGGGCGAGGTGTTTACTCCTTTCCTGGCCTGTGCTCTGGTCTATGACCACTCTTTCCTGTCTTGGAACTGTGAGGAGGGTTTCCTCTCCACAGCCACTACAAGCTCCAACATGCCAGTGCTCCTCCTTGCCCCAGGACTGTCCCTTAGAACTGTGACCCAGATCCAAGCACAGGTAAAGCAAGAGATTTCTGCCTCAGCAGAGAGATCCCTGCAATCCCCCTCTGATTAACCACTCAATTCCCCCTCAGTCTGTGGGATGGAAGCTCAGGAGGTAGCCACGGCCCGCGCTCAGTGCTTGCAGCTGAGACATAGCTTCTCTCTCACCAAAGTCACAGACTTTTCCCACTGACCTTCCAAATTGTTGTTGGTGTTCATGGGTTGAGAAGTCTGGAAACTGCCACAGCTACCCACGATTCAGTCCTCTGAGGCCTGTTCCAGGTTTGCTGTGGCCTGCACGCCCACGCTGCACTGGGATCCTCTCCCAGTCCAGAGCGATATACTTTCTGATCAACCATCCAGGCTGTCTTTGGCTGGAAATTTGTTTCACTGTCTTTTTGTGGGTTCTGCTGCTTTAGAATTTGTTTAGAGCCATTTTTTATAGATATTTGGAGGAGTTTGGGGGAGAGCTCAAGCAAGTCACTGCTTTTACTCTGCCATCTTGGCTCCGCCCCTCCTAACTGTACTATCTTCTGGCCTATATCTCTCCATCTTCTCCACAAAGACAATATAAGAAGGTCAAGTTATAACCAACCCACCTATAGAAATGAGTTAACAAATAACTTTATACTTAGAGTTCATCATTTACTACTTGAAAACAATGACATTTCTTATTTGTTACAACTGGACTAACAGAAAGGATTTTCTTTCTTTAATTCCTAGTTTAAAAATGTTTATATATAAATCTATTTGAAAATGTGATTGTTTAAGACAGTGATTCCCAACCCAAATTGTTATATGG